TGCTGAATAAATGAATCCTGGAAAGAAAGAAAAGATATTTGCAGAACAGTAAAGTTGGGAAGAAGGGCTGCTTCCTTACCTTGACCAGAATCCTGGATTTTAAGGCTCCAGGATTGCCTGCCTCCAGCACAACTGAATGAGCAAGGGGAGGGAATGTCGTGTGATCCCCCTGGTTTGATCTTGATGAAGCATTTGATGCAGTGTCCCCTACAAGCAGGATCCCAAATCAACTGAAACTTAAGTGGCTACAAGATCCACACAGGAGTTAAGCAGGCTGGAAAGAAAAACACCAGATACATGACCAGTGTGATGTAGAAAAGAACCACAAAGAATAGTATTCAATTTGTATTCAAAAGTAACTTAGGAATTGTTCACACTGTTATAATCAAATTTGCACATACCATTAATTTGGGAGCTGTGAAAAGGGCAAATGAGGGCAAGCCAACTGACTCAGTTAAATTAACAGAGGGGTGAAGAAAAACAAAAAGTTTGGTTTTATTTTTGTGCTCCCTTTAATTTTCAGGGAGGGGCTGAGAGTGCCCATTGGGTAGTAACCGCCTCTAGACCTGAAATGCCAAGACTGAACTAAGTAAAGTAAGTATTGGATATGTTTAAGATTTTAGGACCTTCCATCTGAACTTCAAAAAGCATGATCCTATTATTGCATGGACCATCAGTAAAGTTCCATGGGAAATGATATTCCTTTCAACAAGAAGATTTTGTTAGCAAAACTCAAAGAAATGAAGGGGCTCAGAGGCTGAATTCAGAGGTCAGATGAAAAAGTCAGTAGTGTATGTATAATCTGGCCCTGCTACAAATATGCCGCTCCGGCAGAAGGTCATGAGAATGGTTTGCAAACACACGGCAGGATAAAGAACAGCAGAGAAGGAAGCGGGAAGAGAGCAAAAAACTTGGACTAACATTATTTTTTTAAGCATAAATTATCATTTCTAATTTTTTTTAATGTTGAGACATTGCTTTTCCCTTGGTAGAACTGTTTGCCTTCCCGGTAGATTTAGAACTCAAGAAACGGAAGTAGGAGAGGTCCAAGACATTTGGGGGAAAAAAAAAAAGGTCTAATTCAGGCTAGGTCCCAGGAAATGCACAAGTGAGCATCATTTCATTCAACTCCTAAGAGACTGAAGAACTGAACTATTAGCTCTGTAGAAACCATGCCCCACAGAGTGGACTCCACAGCTCATGAGAGACTGTCGATGAAGGGACAGTCACCAAGGAAATACTGCATGATCCATTTCCTTCGAAATTAAAAAAAGGGGTGGGGTGGGGTGGGGTAGGGGACTTAACACAAAGGCATAAAGATTAAAGCCATAGTGCATTCTCGATATGGGTGGGAAATTTATGTGAAAATGATCATAGTCTGAGATTATTTAATGTATATACAGAATAACAAGCAAATGATGAAACCTAAATAGATCTTCTCCAAGGTTTGATTGCTGGCCCCCTCCTAAGGTTTAAAAATCAGATTGATGACATATGATGATATGATGACAAACTCCCAGTTGGCCTCTGAATAGCTAAAGGTTAGAGGTCCCTTATCTGACTGCACTCAGAATCACCTGCAGGCTTTTAAATACTATGTCTAGGGCAGGGGGGATTGCCAGTAGCATGCGGTGTTCCCATTATCTGTGCATTTCAGAAACTCGCAGGCGACCCTATGTTGCAGTCTGGCTGGGGAACTTTTGCTGCAGACATTCTATTCCCTTCTAGACTCCGCCACTAGAACCAGTCACGACAGAGACTAGAATAAATGATTTCCTTTCTCAAGAACGTTTAATGGAATAACCTTCAAAGGCAACGGAACGAAGTCCAAATTCCTTAGCAGGACACTCGAGGTCCTCTATGATGTGTCCCAAACTACTTTTCTGCCCTCCTTGGCTCCCCCACCCCTCACTCTGTCACTGCACCATTCCCCAAACACATCACACGCTTCTTTTATGTCTTTGGCACTCACTGCCCCAGCGTTCCCTCAGCTCACCCACCCTTTCCCCACCAGTCACCACCTTTCTCATCGTTCAAGTCCGGGCTGCTCAAGTTATTTTTCTCTGTGAAACCTTTTCTGATCTTTCCAGCTAAAATCAGTCTCCCCTTCCTCTGAGCAAATGTCCAAAAAATGAGCTCACGCAGAAATGACAGCATATACTGCGTGCTCGTTGAATGACACTGAACTGCTGTGGACCGGTCTCCCCCAGAGCGCGGGGCCACGGTCTCTCACTTCTCATACCATGGATGAGAGTCAGACAGGTTCAAAGTGTCCTTTCTCAGTTATAAGCACTGTAACCCTCAGGAGGTTATTTAAACACTGTGAGCCTCAATCTTATGATCTTTGAAATGGGACCCACAAAGAAGGAGCCCTACCTTTATGACTGATTTGAGCGTAAAACAGAAAATGTGTTCGGCCCAATGCAGACCACATAAAATGTACCAAGGTGATAGCTGTCAGTGTTCTCTATCAACTTTTGTTTCCCTCCCTATGAGAATACATCACAGACACATCACAGAAGTAAGAGCTCCAAAAGCATGTGCTCCCACTCAAAAATAAATAAATAAAAAGCATTTGCTTTCAAAGTGATAAACAGTGATTTCTTAAAATTTCTTAAAGCCCTTTCTCCTTGCCCAATTTTGTTCTGTTATGAAGGGCATTTCATAATATTTCTATTGAGAAGTCATCTCTTAATCCCCTTTCTTTCCTTCAAAAATCAATGTACAAAATTCGAACGAACAAGCCCTGCCTGTCCCTCCTACTCCAGCTTGGCTTTCTGCTTTGAACTACAGTAACTGCCTGCAGCCAGTGTCGCTGCCCAGAGAAATGCCTGCTTCACCCTCACAACAAACAGCACTTTGTAGGCAAACTGGAGGCGAGCCCAAAGTAGGAGGGGGGAAAACCAAGGAAAAGGAGTTTGGGCCAGAAACTGAGTCGACACCCACATTATCGTCATTCTGTAACACAGGTAAGGAGGGAACGGGAAAGGAGAGAAGCTCAGATCAATGCCAACCTTCCCAATAACTCCCAGGCATCCAGCTCATCAACACCCACCCATGAGAGAGACTCCGAGACTTCCAAAGAACACACTGGTTCCCAAATGCCCAACACACATGGCCACTGTTGTCAGTAAAATATCATCACATGTAGTATGCAGCTTATCCCACACAATCAATCCTGTTGCTGTTATCAACCTCTCCACCAATTACAGGGGATGAAACCCAAGTCTCAAGAAGTCCAAAGTCACAAAGTCAGTAGAGAAGAGTGACAGGACCAATACTCAAGTCCTCTAAGCTCCAAAGGCTTGGCCCTTCCCCCTGTCCTTTATGAAGTGTGAAAAACAATTTTTAAAACATTCTCAGAAGCTCACCAAATCCCTAAGTTGTAAAGGTAAGGTAGTTTTTGTCCTCTTAAAAACAATTCTGGTGCAAAGAGTGAGGGCTGTCCCAGCAAGGAGGCCCCACCTACAGCCCTTAGAGGGATCAATCCGGTGTTTCAGGACCGTGCTCCAGGAAGACAGTCTAGGTTCTGTGCCGAGATGGAAAATGTCTCCTGACGATGCTTTTTACTCATTTGGTTTGGGGGTGAAGTGTTAGGAAGGAGTATAATTTTTTTCTAAATCAAACCCTGATCTTGATAAAGGTGAAGTGAGGGGGAAAGCAAAAGAAGATTCTAAGGCCTATTTGTGATCCTTGATGAGAGAAGAGTACTGGAGTGGGTAGCCTTTTCCTTCTCCAGGGAATCTTCCCAACTCAGGGATTGAACCCAGGTCTCCCAATTGCAGGAGGATTCTGTACCAGCTGAGCCACCAGGGAAGCCCAAGAATACTGGGGTGGGTGGCCTACCCTTCTCCAGCAGATCTTCCCGACCCAGGGATCGAACCGGGGTCTCCTGCATTGCAGGCAGATTCTTTACCATCTGAACTACCAGGGAAGCCCACGAGAAGAGTACAATGCAGTCCTCAGACCACGAATGCCTGCATTCCAATCACAGCTCTGCCACTTCCAGCTCTGAGGTCTTGAGTCCCTTGGCTGCTCCCAGAGATGGGGAAGCGCAGCCAGATGGGGAACGGTGCCTTGCCGTCCTCTGCTAGAAAATGGGCTGTTGTGAGCAGTACATGAGCTGAAAACACATAAAGTGCTCCAACAGTGCCAGGCACGTGTAAGTACAAAGCAAGTGCTTCCTATTATTATTCCCAGAACAGATTAGTCTCCATGATTGTGTTCTTTTTTTTAAGTGTGTTTTAGAAGGTTAAAGACGATTTCTTAGATAAGTTGTTAATCCATAATGTCCCCAAACAGCACAAAGATTTATTCACAAGTTTCACTTCCTGACAGGATCCTCCAGGATTTCCATCTGTGGACTAGAGTCCCTGGAAGAACAAACAGTGGAATGTGAAGAATTTTCCTTCTTCTCAGCAACAGTGCAAGTAAATCTGCACCCATTTTCTCAATACTACAAACAGGCTTCCACACTGAGAAAAAAAAAAACAAGAAACTTATAGCATTAAGCTAACTAACGCAGGGGAAAATTTTTAAATTCACTTTATATCTGAAAGCAACCGAAGGTTAAAAATTTAAAGTTATACCAGTTGAGGAAGACATGGTCCAGATCATGTGGGGATGACAATCCTAAGGACTGGGATAAAACCTGATGAATCAAAAGATATCTTCCCCATAAAATGTTGGAATTCCAGGAACAATGGGCTATCCCTGGGATGATTAAGAGAAAAAATGGTTTTTAAAAATCCCCTCTCAGGCTAAAAGTCTAGACTCAGCTGACACAGAGTTCTACTAAAAATCACCTCTCTTCTCTTTCAGGGAGGGCGTATGTACAACAGGTTAAACAGTGGAAGGATTTTTCCCCAAAAGAGCAGATAAAACTAAAGACAGCAGCACTAGAAGGAAGGGTCACAACACTGGGCTGGGGTGGTGTCCTGCCCAGGGGCACCCGGCCGGGGAGAGAGGCTAAAAGTCAGCCCGCACTGGTCTTCAAGCAGCGTGCCTGGTGGAGCAGACGTGGCCCCCGCTGCCACTAACCTCACACGGAAGGGTTGCGGGGGCAGCGTCAAGTGGTGCCAAGCACCCGACGCCCCAGAGCAATGCAAGCTGGTGTCCAGAACCATCTGGGAGCTGGAGGCCATCGTGCATACCCCCTCGATACGAGGCTGTGCTCCGGAGAGGGGCGGGGAAGAGTCTTGGTTTGTACAACGAAACATGTTCAGCTTTCCTGGTTGACTTTCTGACGCCAGCTGCTCCGCCGCCCTCCCTTTGCTGTCTTCTCCTTCCTCTCACACTCCAGTTCTTCTGCAGAAGCCACACGGTGACAGCATACCAGACATGGCAAGACAACAGCCCTCCGCCCACCCGCAGAGGTTGTGCACTACGTCTAAATGTGCATCAGATCACAATTTTCCCTTCTCAGTGAGGACTCCTCTTTTTGGTTTCTCTCCTATTACCCCCCGAATCAATTCTGATATAAAGAAACCTCCCTCTTCGCTTCCGGGATAGATGATCTTTCTTCACGTACCCCGTGTTCTGTGTTTCGGGGCCCACTTGCCTCCCTCAGCTGTATCTTCCACCTGCTTCGTTCCCGTACTCTACGTATTTCTCCCTCAATCACTACTCCTAGGAAGGAAAACCCCGTCAAATACATCTACTCTGGATATAATAAATCAGATTTAAAGAGCAGAAATTACCACATTGACAAGTATGGGGATTTTGGTTTGCTTTGTTGTTTTCTGTGTGTATGGGGGGGGGTGGGGGGGTTACACAAAGCAATAACATCACGTTTTCATTTGTTTCAACGTTCTCAAAGTCTATTATGCTTTTTGTTGAATGCTCTGCTTCCATTTACCCAGCCACTAAAGAGCTATCTATCTCTAAGGCCTAAGATCACAGGCTCTATCCAACCCACAAAGTTATTTTATTTGGTCTGCAGGAAGTTCTTTTTCAAATGTTGAGCTTAGCCCATCTTTCAAAATCAGGAGATTTTTAAGTAATCCAGATTCCTGGCTTACAGTGAAGATCTGTCAAGACTGGCCCACATTCCCATATGGCAACAGTTGGCGGCTGAATAGACTGGCTGAACAGGACCCCCTTGACAGGACCTGCATTTTCTGGTTGAGTCCAGGCCTGCCCCCCACTCCCCCACCCCATCACTCTACCGAGGTGAGTACCAGGTGCCATAAGTCACCGCACGTGAGGCCCACTTCACGCAGTGTTTGGTATATGCCTAAGACCATGGCTAATATCCAACTCCAACTCTCTCTCTGGTTAGTGCAGAACTTACAGGGATAATCAGAAAGCTTCTCCTTGGTACAGAATTTTCCAGGTACAATTCATAAGGAAAAGAACTTACAACTAAGTAAAAAGGAAAATGTCCCATAGTAAAGAAATATTTGTAAAGCACCAAGTTAAAAAGAAAGACTGTATGTGTGGTGTGTGCATGTAGGAAGAGGATTCATTGGGTAAGCTGTGTAACACTGCAGACCATTTTACAATTTGTAATTTATTATTGGCTAAATATTAATATGAAAAATAAAACCGTTAAAGTAGAAACTCAGAGTGAATTCACTCCACTGAAATGACTATACTTGAACATAATAAATCTATAAATGAAACAGACTATATATATCACATAAATATATGGATATTTATTGATTCATTATTAACTCAGAGGATATGGGTATGATTGTCTTTAATTGCATATACTTGTGATAGCATTTATTCAGCAAACATTTGCACAAGACACCTTCCCAACAGTAGCCACATCCTTTTATGTTTATGCACAGTAGTGTTGTAGAGTCAGATCTAATTAGGAGGAGGGCACTTAGTGTGTGCTATTACAAGTGGCATTCTATCACCAATATGGATGATCAAAGAGAACAGGGCTAGAGAAAGCACCAAAACAAGTGATTTTAAATTACCCTCTCAGATTGAGAGCTCTGGCCTGCAGAGCCGGAGGCCCCCAGCTCCCCTCTTCTCAGCTGTGTGCCCATTCTTCAGATATGGTTCGTAAACAAGGAGCAGGAACCAGACGAGCTGTGAGGTCTCTTTACGACTCAAAATCAGATTCTCTTTTTTAACAGAAACATTAATAGTATTATAAAATGAAGAAAAACAAACCTAAGAGAAGTGAGGGGAATGCTGTACATAAGAGAATGAGCTTTGAAATAAAGACTAGTTTCAAATTCCACTTCCACCACTTCCTTGTGATTTTTTTTTTTTTGGAAAATCACATAACCTCTCAGGCCTCAGTTACGTCATCTCTAAAGTGGAAATAAGTCCATCTTCCACTTAGGACTGTTTTGCAGATCAAATGAGAATACATGTAAATTACAGGGCACGGGTTTGGAATTATCAGTAAACGCCTAATAAATGATGGCTGTTATTACCTATAAGTATTCCATAAACTGTCCAATTACTTCTTGACCTAAGTTTAAAAAACTAGTTATAGATGATAGTAAACTGATCTTAAAAGCTTATGAAGTAGGGTATCATTGCAAGAATCACGGGGGTCATTTTCGAAAGAATTTGAATATTCAAACATTTCTTAGAACTGGATTGGGAACAACCTCTAAAGAGAATGTGACTGATAGTACTTCACGCCCAGTGTGAAGGGCATGAATCTGTCTGGTCTCCGTTGAGTGAGCTCGGCAGAGGCAGCTTCCTGGAGGCTGACACCCTTGACGGAAGGGCCGTCTTACACTTCTCCTTCCTCCTCCCTGCTTTGTAGACTTCACTGCAGTCTTGGTGATCTGCTGATGCTGAGATTTAGCAATGGGATTTATGGGTTGCTGTGGAAGTGAAGTCTTCTCTGGCAAAGTTCCTAACTATTACCAGCAAGCCGAGAAGGAAAGTAAAAAAAGCTTTTTAAGAAAAGAAATGTTTACGATAGAATTGAACATCAATATGTGTGCTCTTTTCCCAACAGCAGGTGTCAAGAGGAGGAAACGGACATCTCAAACATCTCAGGAAGGCAGTAATTCCCAGACTTTTGATATCACAGACTAGTAAAATTTCAAAAGAAGACTGTCATAATATTGCCAGATTTTAGAAGAAATCATACCAAAGACAAACCATCACCAGTATTTCATAACCTATCAAAGTAAGCAAGATATCCCAACCAAGATTTTTTTTAAAATCTTTTCAATTGAATAAACTTAGCACTAAAATTAAAACTGAAAAGCCTGCTGCATTCTCTTTATCCTTTTCCACAGGCTGGTGTAACTGTCACTATGCATTCACAATGGACCACAGGATGGTCCCCTCACGCCATCCAGTCCAGGATGCAGTATCTCATGGAGCACCAAGGGTCACAAAATGGACCATCTGCTGTCTTGGTCATCATCTCCCAAGGACACAAACGTATCCTTAAAGCTCCTTGTTTATCTTAACTACCAAGTGTGAGTTGTCAGCCACTAATGTTTCAAAACTTCTCTAAGGTGTCAATACCCACCCTGTCGGTACAACTATGCAAGACGGTGGCTCTCAGTCTTGACTACACACCAGAATCACTTTGGAGTGATTTGGAGTATGTCATTGGTGTAGCGTCACACTTAGCAGATTTCACATATCTTCAACGAGAAGACATTAAGAAATTACCATTCTTAGATATCTTTTGAAGCAGACAGGACAGAAATCCTAGGTTACTTAATGCCAGGTTATCCAAATGAAACTTCACTCCCAGAGACTCTGACCCAAAAGATGCGGGGAAAGGTCTGGGCTCATGTAACTTTAAAACATTTCCCAGACTGATTCTGATGCCAGCCAGGGCTAAGCAAAACTATTTACATTATTTCCTGAATTTATGTTTTATAAGGCTTTAAGGAATGCACCTCTTCATGTACTCCTTCAGGTGTCAAATATCAACGCAGGGCCTGCTGGGGGTGGGGGGGGACCAGGAAATCAATGGCCTAGAAGACAGATACATCTCTGCCTTCGCCACACTGACACGGCACGGAGCAGGCAGACAAGGAAGCTGGTGGCTGAAATAGTACATGGGTCTAAGGAGAACAATCCAAGTTTCCTCTGTCCCTATCCGAGTGGTTTCATGGGCATCAGAATCATCTCCTCCTGGCTGTCTTCTTTCCAGATACTAGAAACTATATTTTTACCAGAAAAACAGATGGGCAAGGCTCTGTCCTCATGGAGCTTACATTCTGGCAGGACTGTCTACCCTCTCTAGGTACATTACATTGGTCATTCCAGCTCTAGGGTCTCACCTAAAGTCAGGTGCCCATGCTTTGAACAAAGCACAGTAGAAACTCAATTATGACTATGTTTTCTGTTTTGTTGCCAAAATCTTTTTGATGAAGCTTAGCACTTCCTGTCCTTTTTAATCTGCAACAAGTTGGGAAAACACTGTAAAAATATTTTTGAAGCCCTTTCCTGGATTTTCCCACCAAAAACCATTTTATGACAACTCTGTAATTCCCCCCTTAATACCTGACCTCATATTTGCCCACAAAGAAATACACCTGCAAATCTTCTGATGACTAACATATCCTGGTGCAGTTTCCCTGGAATAAATCCCCGTTGGTTAACTATTTCATAATTCAGAAGAGTGCACTATCATCTGTAAACCTAGAAATTCCACTGTGTATTCCTTCTTTTGGATCAATTATGTAAATAAGTCCTAAGGGACCCTAGTGTTTACTCACCTTCAAGCAGAGTAATCTTTATCTTTAGCCTGTATCTGTGGTCTTTCATGCAGGTAGATTCTAATGCCTGCTCTATGATTATGTGTGTAAGCTGCCACTAACCACATCACCTCCTTAGGCCTCAATTTCCTCTTCTACCAAATTCAAGCACTGATCATTCCCATCTATTAAAAATTCTCTCCTTCTACTCAAAACTGGTACACTGCACACTTAATTCCAAGGTGACTTCAACTCTGATACAGCCTTTGAAAGTGTAAAGGGACAATTTCTAAGGATTTTCAAATATGTCCCCACGCATGAAATCTCTTAAATTCACAAAACACCAGTTTTTACAGGAATATTTTCATCTCCAGAGAATACAGACAGGTTTCCCATGTCGGCCACGCACAGAAGTGAGAGCAAGCAGACTGCACCATCCGGACAGGCAACACGCCTGCAATGGACTGGGCACAATGGACATTCCTAACAAAGGAGGTTACGTGTATTGGCTACGAGATCTGCAATTTTTTTCTAGTGCTCTCAACACTACTGGATGGTGACCACCTAAACCAAGTAATTTACTTAAATCTAGCGTGCTGGGCAGATCTAGAACATTTGGATAACCTAGCATTAAGTTACCAAGGACTTCTGTCCTATCTGCTTCAAAAGACATCCAAGGACGGTTGTTTCCTAACGTCTTCTCGTTGAAGATATGTGAAATCTGGTAAGTGTGACACCACACCGATGACATACTAAAGCTCACTTCTAGGAGAAAGGCCTGACTCTAAGACCCCACCTCTCTCTCCTTCCCCAAAAGTAAATCTGTCACTAATTAAGTATTTCAGGCATTCTAGCAAAAAAAAAAAAAGAAGAAGAAGAAGAAAAAAAAAAACTTAGCTTAAGTGGGAACAAACCTCATACATGGTTTATGCCAATACCAGTTATTACCCTATTTACCTCTTCACAAATTTCAAAAGCAACTCTGATTTGGCAAGCTTCAGATTTGCACAGAACATTAGCAATTCTCTTCCAGATGTCTAAATAGAATTACAAAGACCCCAGAGGATGGAGTACGGATTTCAGAAGCTTGCAACAGACTCAAATAATATCAAAAGGGCACTTCAGGTGCAAACATTAGCAACAACTGAACTCACTGTAGCTTGCCCACACACACAAATTTCTCAGATGCCCTAAGCTCGGGGTTCATCAACCCCTGGAATTCCTCTCCATCACCCAGAACTCCCAGCTTTCAAATAGGACAAGCAGCGCCAAAGTACTGGGTTTCATGAAGTATTAATATTAAGTGACTACAAAGCTTTTGGCAAAGTCATCCTCCACTCCTCTCTCATATGATTAGAAAGCAGAAGTAAGGTTTTAAAATCTCAAAAGACTGGAAGACTGGACCAAAATAAATAGGACAGTACTGGACAGGGACAAAAACAAAACAAAAAACACCCACTCAGCTTCTCTCTCTCTCTCTGTCTCTCTCTCTCTCTCACACACACACACACACACTCGCACAATGAACACAGGATGCAACAGCTAATATGACAAATACCTGGGAGTTCTGCCTGTCCAGACCCTAAACATTAGTCTGTGCTGGGCTGTTCTGTAAGCTTAAGCTGCAAAAAGTAGATGTTTGTGCCTTGGTCTCAGGAAACAGCTGTCCTACTGTACTCTTTGTAGACCAGGTCAGGTCTCCATGACTATATTCAATTTCAGTCACCATAACTCTCCATAAAAGATGCTGACAAACTCAGGAGGCAGAAACCATGTCCCATGTAGAACTGTGAAAAGAATTAGGACTATTTTGCTTTGAGAAAATTTAATCGGCTGGAGTGGCAAGAAGGAAACATTATTCTGTCTTTGCGCCTTCACAGGACTGAGGAGGTGGGTCATTCCAAAGGAATAGAATCAACAGAACAAAGTTTCAGGGAAGCAGTCATCAGCTAATGATCATACACACAGTCCAAAGGCATGATGGCATGTCTGTAAGTAGAGAGGTCCCTGTATCTGGGGGTATTTAAACAGATGCTGCCTCACAAGTATAAGAGTTTACTAAAGAAGTTAGACCAAGACTTCTCTAAAATACCCAGTCTAATTCTGAGACTTCCCCATCTGCCAGGATCTCTCATTTTTTCTCTGATTAGAAGTTGCCCAGATCCTAATCCGTTCAGGTCTGAGTGTAGCAGAAGTCCCCTCGATTGGCTTCCCAACTCACGGTCCTTCCTCACCTTTCAAAACCACCTCCTCCGAGGCCTGTTCTGAGATATAACTTCACTTCACAGTGGCTTCTACCTTCCCTATCAAGGCAGAGTTTCTCGACTTTGGCACTACTGACATTTTGGATGGGATCATTCTTTGTAGTGGGGAACATCCTGCACACTGCAGGATGTTTAGCAAGATTCAGAGTCTCTGATCACTAGGTGTCAGTAATGCTTTCCTCCTAGCTAGGACAAGCAAAAATACAACTGTGTCCAGATATCCCAAATGTCTGCTGGGAGGCAAAGTAACCCCCTGTCGAGAACCACGCTTCTTGAAGCAAATAATTAACACCACTGACTTGTGGTTCAAGTCTTCCACTAACTATATCCCCTCGACCTCCCTTCATCAGACATGTTCTCTGTTCCAGCCGGGCAAACCTATTTTTGACCCATGACACGCCTCAAAGCTTCCCCTAACACATGTGCCCTCCCTCTCCCACAAGACACAAACACTCCCAGCTGGCTCCAAACATCCTTTCCATCTCCGTATTCCTTGGCCTTCTAGACAAATGCAATCCCTTGCTTCTGGTGGTGGTCTCACATGGACCGTCTTACTTGCTTTCTATTAGTACAAGAATCCTCTCCTTGACTAAGGCACCCCAACACCCACTCAGGTTCTCTGCTTCCTGCTGGTACTCAACAAATATTGGCTGGACTTTTCAGAATGTCAATATCAGCTCCAATGATACATGAAAACACATGAAATCCCTTACCGACTGCCATTTCAAGAACATATGTGATCAGGAGCACACAGGTTTGACAAAACTTTCATGTTTTCAGTTAGTACCAATTTAATACCTACAGTACTGAGATTGAATCAAATCTGACTTCCAAAATACAGCTATCAAAATAATTTAACTATTGGGATATTAAAGACACAGCAAACTTTTTGGAAATCAAAAAAAAGTTCTGAACAATGTAAAAACTAGGGGGAGAAGGTCAAGTTTTGACCAAGTTTTTAAAATTCTGTAAACCTTGGCTGAAAGAAAAAGATAGGAATATGGCTCAATACTTTCACTGTTGCATCATACACCACTCCACAGGATCATTAAGAGAACGGGGGACTGGGTCATGTAAGGACAGCTTCCTCTCCAACTTTCTAATGTGTTGGGTTTTAATCAACAAAGTATACACTCAGACGCCCTCAATAAAAATGAGACAAATCTAAGATAAAATGTTCAGATATATAAATACACCATGCCAATTCAAGATTTTGGATTGCTTTTTTCCCAGCTCCATGATTACCTAATCATTTCATGGGCTGCTCCCTTACTAGCCGACAGAGACCAAACACTTTGTCGGCACCTTATTCGACCTGATGTTTATCTCCAGATCTTTCCTATCTCATTCTTGTATTCTAACAGCGTTTTAGTCAGTGGGTGTAGAAGGCAGGAAAAGAGAGGATTGTCACCCTGCGCTAGCTGATGGGAGGTGTCTGGTCAGTATTAACCAGCTGTAAAAATAAATGCTGCCTGAAGACCCCATTTATTGGGTATGGTGCAGAGTTCTTCCCACAGGTCTGTACCATGGCCCAGGAGGGGAAGATCTGAATCACAGTCATTCTTGGCACTTGGAAGCGCCCTTTGGTTGTTTACGAGGTAAACAGCCCTCCCCAGAGCTGCAGACGGGAATTCCCTGGCTGCCCAGACTTCCAACCTCCAGCACAGAACACATAATAGGTGCTCAATAAAGGCAGCCTGACTAGCAAAGCTGCTAAAGAAAGTTTCCAGAAGTCAGCTCTCTCTTTACTCCTGAATCTCTTTCAAAATATGTCCTCAAAGCTTTCTTTGCCCAACAAGAAATATTTTTTTTTCCTAAGTCAAGGAGAAGGAAAGGAGGAAATCTGCGAAACAGAAGGGATATATGGGTCCAAGGGGCTCAAGTTGGGCCTCATGGTCGGCTAGGGCTCCCCAGCACCTATTCGCCCTCCTTCTGCCCAGCTCCTGAGCACTCCAACCTCTCACCTCTGCACTTTTTCTTTCCTGAAACCCCACCTCCCCACCTTCTGACACAGACACCCCAACTGCGGATCCAAGTGGGGCCGCACACCCCACCACTCCAGCAGGGACCTACCTCTCCTCCCCTCGACCTGGGGCAGCTCTTCTTTACTGCAGCTTGCTTTTTAAGAAACTAAAAAAACTCATCCCTTTATCCGCGAGGGATACCCCCAAATAAAGGGGGGAGAGAAACAGGAAGGCCCCTATGAACCCTCCAGGCAGCGGAGGTGTGATTCTCTGAGCAGCCACCCCCAATCCTCCTCCTTTCCAAGCCCCTGCAAGGGATTCGCGCAGAAGTCCGGCTCCCAACTGCCCACGCTTCCAAACAAGCTAGAAGCGGATTATACCGGTACCCAACCCGGAGATGGCCCGCGGAGGGCTGGGTGCACCTGCGGGCCCCCGGCTCCCTCCCCCTCGCGCTGGGGGCGGGGCGCGCCAACACTTCCCAGCCCAGCCCAGCCCACCCCGCGCGGGAAGGAGGCGGGAGGGGAGGCGTTTCTGGAGAAGTTGAAGGGCTCACCTTCTGGGCAGCGGGCCAGCGAGGCCAGACACCAAACACCCACCTCCGGGAAGAATCAGCGGAGCCGTAACCGGGTCTCCCCGCCCTTCCGATGGGGCGGAGGGAGGCGAGAGAAGGGAGCGCGCGTGGCGGGGAGCCGGACAGAGGCGGTCGCAGGCCGGCACGGTCCTCCTACGGGGCCCACTCCGCGGCCCCGGAGCCCGCCGCTGAGATTGCCGAAAGCGGAACGATCTTCGGGGACCGAGGCTAGCGCTCGGCCCGGCCCGCTGGCCGCCCGCGTCCCCCAGCCCGCGAGGTCCCAGCCACAGCCTCCGCTCGGGCCGCGGCGCCGCGGGGCAGGTCGCCGGCGCCGGGGTGGCGCGTGTCGGCTGCGGCGCGGCTCCACCGGCACAGTCCCCGGCCCCTGCCCGGGAGAGGCGCGCACCAACCTTGGGGGGCAGCCCGGGCAGCTTTGGCCGCCTAGCCCCGGCTTAGGCGGAGGCGGGAGGTGGCGGCATCACCTGCGGCGTGCGGCTACTGCTGCTCCCGGACGCGCCGGGGCGGCGGAGGCGCGCGGCGCCCTGCACCCTGCTCCCGCGGCCCCGCCCGCGGCTGCCACCTCGAAGCTCGGCGGAGGAGCCGGGGCACCACGGGCGGCGGCAGCGGCGGCGACGGGAGCAGCAGCACATGACTCTGTTACGGGGGGAATTAGACAAAGCGTAACATGGACTCCGGGCCCGTGCAGGCGCTGCAGCTTCGGGACCAACCGCAGCCGGCGAGCGCCGCCACTGGCTCGGCCGCAGCCAATGGGGGCGGGCCCGGGCCTCCATGTGATGGCGAGCTCTCTTCCCCCGCGGCTCTCCGGTGCCTGCCGGGGGTCGGGACGCTTCCGCCGCCGGGCGGGCTGACCGGAGGGGAGGGGCGGCGAGTTCGGTGGCCCGGGGTCGGGCACTGGCGGCGGGAGGCCGCGGCGCCGCGCGCAGGTGCACCCGGCGGGGTGGGGGCGGCCACCGAAGCCCGCCGTCCCCCCAGCTGCTCATCAGTGAAATGCCCACCTGGGCCGGGCACGATGCCCGCGCCCAATGTCGCCAAGCGGGCGAGAGTCCATCTCAGGAACCTTCACCCTTCCTGGGGCTATCCTGTCAACTGGACCTCTGATAGTAAGACGGGTGTGGGGCTGGGGTATGCCATGAAATGATAGGGGGAAATTCGCCGAAAAGTCATTTCAGCGGCTTCCAACTGTCCTTACCTGGGATATAGGGCACACACAACTTAATCTTGGCGCGAATAGCTTTCCTGCCTAATTTGTTCTGTCTCTTCTATTGAAGACGCAAGAGAGAGTCGCTTATTGTTTTTTATCTGAGTCTGATCTCCCCGACTCCTCCCACCCCATTCTTTTTTGCCAAAAATGTCTTGTATCTGAAGAGGCAGATGAAAGTTTGTCCTTCACTAAACTGTGTTTCCCAACCTGATAGTTTTTCCTCTTGTTTTTGTTGTAAGATCAAAGTATATTTGAAGTCTTTTTTCATGGGTGGTGAGAAGCAGGAGTCAAGAAATAACGTCACAAGGGATGTTTGGAAGTGTTGGTTTTTAACATGGCAGATAGTTCCAGCCCAGTGTTACAATATCTCCTTTTATCTGAATCTACCGGTTTCCATGAACGTGAGTCTATGTGCTCAGTCGTGTTTGACTCTGTGCAACACACCGGACTGTAGCCCACCAGGCTCTGTCTGTGGGCTTCTACAGGCAAGAATACTGGAGTGGATTGCCATTTCCTTCTCCAGGGTGTCTTCCTGACCCAGGGATCACACCTGTGTCTCCCGCATTGCAGGCAGATTCTTTACCGGCTGAGCCCCATGAAAAATGGGAAATCTCGTCTCTTCTACCAAGATATCTCCATGTCAGTGAATGTCCAATCAACATTTGCTAAGCGTCTAAACGTTCTTCATAAGCATGCTGCAAAAATGTTACAGGTACTCAGGAAGGTGTGGGTTCAGATACAGTGAGAGAGTAGAGATTCGTTTTTAGGGTTTCCGGGAAGACTTCAGAGACAAGGGAGTAGAACTGACCCTCAGAGACTGAGCACTTGTCCCCCGACCCTGGAAGTAAAGAGCAGGCCTGAGGCTGAGTGTGAACAGAGTTCCAGCACACACTCGAGAGACAGTCCTAGACTACTTACAAGATGACACTAGATTTTGAGCCTTTCTCACCTCTTGCTCGCTCACTTCCCTTGTTCTGTCCTTTGTGCCAACAGCCTCTCCTGTCCACACACCCAGCCAAGAAGGAGGTGTGTAGGCAGGAGCTGTGTGTCCCGTGATCTAATTACAGTACCAGATTCGCTGATCTCGGAGATTGGTGCTGTTTTAAAACTGTTAACGTCTAGTGGTGTGATATTTTGATGGAAAACACCTCACTACTATGATTAATTTGGAATGTTTTGCTGTTTGTAAAAACTCTTTTCCACGTTCTGATTTTCCCTGAGTTTTAAAGTTTGATTTTAGACTTGAGAGAACTGTGATTTCAAGAATGGGATCAATTGAGAAAGGAAAAAAGTAGTACTCAAAAAAAAAATGTAGAGAAACAGGCACATGTGCTCATGAATGTGAGTGTTAATTGGGTAAATCCATTTGGAGGACAATTTAGCAATTTTGGATAGAATTAGTATGCGAGGGATTTTTTTGACCAGGCAGTTTCACCTCTAGGAATTTCTGCTTTGGCCATATGTGTGCAAAAACCATGTATTGCAGAAGCATTTACAAGCATGTAGAAAGTTGTATGTACAGGTGTATTTATTGCAGTATTGTTTATGACAGGAAACATAGAAGGGTGCGTAAGTTTAATAACAAAATCCCAGTAGGGGACTGGTTAAGCAATTTTAACCTGTTTTATAAAAATTGGAGACCTATTTGTACTAAACTGAAAGAATGTCCAAAATCTATACATGAAAAAAGCAAGTTGCAGAACAATATGAATAGTATGATACCATTTATAAGCATATTTTGTCAAAAATATACATGTTATTAACTGTATGCTTAGGGAAAATCGGGAAGCATATATAACAAGCAGTTAACAGTGGTTTTCTCTGGATGTGAGATTATTAGGGTCATTGCTTTCTGTTACAAGTTTCTGTATGCTTGAATTGTTTTTATGTTGAGTACCTATTACTCTAATAAGAAAATAATAAAAAAAATTAAAATAAAATTGCCAAGAGCTGTACCAATGACAATAAGGATCACTCTGAGGATCTAGGAAGCAAAAAATGTCGACTTCCCCTACTCCCCAAGAAAAACAAGTAGGACGCAGCAAAGGATGCTAACTGCCTTGACTTTGGATTGAAAATGAAGAAATATGATAGAAGAAGCATCTGAGGCTGTTCAAGGACTGTCAACAGGGATCAAGTGGGAGAAACATAATAAGGCTTCAAGGAAGTTCTAGTCAACAGAGACTTAAGAACACTTACTGTCCTTTGTTGAGTTATGGTCACAAATTGGCAACTGTTTCAATACTTGTTAAATCCAAATCATACAAATCATGACTGCAGCCAACACAGTGCTTGTGATGGGCCAGGCTCTGCTCTGAGTACTGTGCATATGTCCACTTTTAGTCCTTGCAGAAACCTTATGAGAGAAATACTATCCTCATTTTTTTTTTTTTCCTCTAGGAAGGGGGACTTCCCAGGTGGCGTTAGTGGTAAAGAACCTGCCTGCCAATGCAGGTAGACATAAGACATGTGGGTTCCATCCCTGGGTTGGGAAGATCCCCTGGAGGAGTGCACAGCAACCCACTTTAGTATTCTCGCCTGGAGAATCCCATGAACAGCCCATAGGGCCCCATAGAGTCCGACACAACTGAAGCGACTAAGCACGCATCCTCATTTTTTAGAGAGGCCTGGAGGAGTTTATAAGCAGTTCAAGATCACACAGCCTTCAAGTGACCTTGCTAGATTTTTAAGCCCAGTGGCCTGACTCTAGAGATACAAACACGATACTGAAGACCACATAAGATAAAGGTATTTATATGTGTGCCTTATTCTACCAAGTGATGTAATTCTAAGTTGATTTGAGTTTAGTAGTATTTGGAACGGAGAAGGCAATGGCACCCCACTCCAGTACTCTTGCCTGGAAAATTCCACAGACGGAGGAGCCTGGTAGGCTACAGTCCACTGGGTCGAGAAGAGTCAGACATGACTGAGCGACTTCACTTTCACTTTTCACTTTTATGCATTGGAGAAGGAAATGGCAACCCACTCCAGTGTTCTTGCCTAGAGAATCCCAGGGATGGGGTCGCACTGAGTCGGACATGACTGAAGTGACTTAGCAGTAGCAGCAGTATTTGGAATGCCCTAAGGCACTCAATAATACTGATTGAATGAGTGAATGAATGAGTTTCCTACTGAAGAAGAATTAGAACTCCTTGGAGGAGTGATTTTGCATTGTTTCCGTGTGTGTCACCTAGTAGAGTGCCCAACATGTGGTAAGCGATATGAATTTCACTAATCTGTAAACATGTTTTTGAAACGTGCAGAAATCAACCTTTATAAATTGATCCCAAATACACCAGAGCAGCTTATGAATCATATCATGATGGATTCCTCATAGAGTGAAGAATAGCCCTGAAGGGATAGAGCTAAATCTGCTTGTACCTGTATAACCATACACAAATAAATGGGGAATATATTTGCTTGGAAAGTGGCAGTAACGCTGGAGAGCTACGGAATTTCAAGTTATGTGAGTCTCTCTCTCTTTCTCTTGCCTCTCTTAGTTTCTGAAGGAGGTAATAACACCTATATCCAGATAGTGTGAGACCAAGGACTCATTCACATATGGAAAAGGCTTAGCCACGTGCTTAGAACACAGGCATTGTTCAGCAGATGTTACCTACTATAAGTGTGTCCACACACTGTAAGTGTGATCAGATTTCTGAGTCTATGGTGATTTCGGTAAATACTACAGCTTACATAACCTGTGATTACACCTGGGAGCTCACATACATATAAGGCTTAGAAATTACATAGAGGACATTCCTGATGGTCCAGTGGTTAAGAATCTTCCTTGCATTACAGGGGATTTGGGTTCCATCCCTGATCAGATAACAAATCCCACATGCCTGGGAGCAACTAAGCCCACAGGGCCACGACTAGAAGGTCCATGCTCTGCAACAAAAGATCCTGCGTGATGCAATGTGCGGCATCTAAAACCTGAAGTAACCAAATAAATAACAATATAGTGGGGGGGGGGAATAAAAATAAAGTAAAATTTTAAAAATACATAGTCTGTGCTCAACCTGAGCACATTAGAAGCAGTAGACTTCTCATCTTTCTTCTACTGTGCTACCTCCCACTATCCTCTTCTATGTTTTACATGGGTTAAAACCATTTCACTTCTGGGATTATTTAAACTGTCAGCCTATTTGAAGGTAGGAGGCAAACTGTCTCCCTTCTTCACAGCTAAGGAAATAGAAATGCTGGAGACCAGACTAGAAACCAGCAGATAAAGGGTGTAGAACAGTATAGAGAAAATGGAACCAGTTAGGGTGTGTGGGGTAACTCTCCATGGGTCCTGACGTAACATAAGGTCCAAAGGGGAAGGGGAATTGCCAGACTGCTATAGTTAGAAATAACATGGTGAAATTGAAACTAGAAAAACTAAGGGTACGTGTCTTAATCAACCACAATAAGAAGAAAGAAATGGACCTCTGCCTTTTTAAATGCACTCATAGGCAGATTGAATCAGGATTGCCTGTCTGGTAGGCCAGTTTCTTAATTAGCAGCCCGGGACTGACTGCTCCCTTCACTGGGGAAAAAAATTTTTTTAATTATTTAATTAATTTATTTTACTTTACAACACTGTATTGGTTTTGCGATACATTGGCTTGAATCCACCATGGGTGTACATGTGTTCTCCAACCTGAACCCCCCTCCCACCTCCCTCCCCATCCCATCCCTCTCGGTTATCCCAGTAGAAAGAAACACCAAAATCAACCACTTGAGAATCTGCGCCCATATCCTCTGCCTTTCTGCCTACTACTGCTACAGATGAGT